GGGCAAGGAACACTTTTTTGAAAATCAGCATTGGCAGAATGTGCTTGGTTTATATTGACATTTAAGGACGGGCTTTGCTCAGGGTAATTATCTAGATCAATTTGCTGTGGGAGGCTCATATGTTCCTGTGATATTGAAGATGTGCAAAAGGAATGCAAAGATGTTTGACCCTTAATTCTATTGTTTGGCTTCTTAAGGTCAGTTGTTAAATTGACTTTTGTTTTTTTAGAATAATACCAAGCTGATTTGTGCTCTTTACGTTGTAATAATTTTATTTCAGACTCCAGAGTTTGCTTTTCAGATAAAAGTTGTTTCTTTTCATTTAGCAATCTATCACACAATTGATAATCTTTCACTTGCTCTGCTTTCAATTTGCGCTTCTCTTTAACCACGATTTGGTCATTTATTACTTGAAGTTGTTCTGTGATCTTAAGAATTCTGTTTTTTCTATCATCAGATAAAGTATTCTTTGGTTTTGAACTGGGCGGTTCTGTTTGATTATGTTTGCTGCTTGAAAAGCCTTTTTTGAAAAAATATCCACGTTCCCTAACGTTTTCTCGGGCCTGTTCAAACAATGCACTTCTATCAAATATCAATGATGGATTCATAGTTACCAATTCTTCTGATGCAGCATTTATTGCCTTTTCATATGGCTTTAGTAAATGTTCTGGTCTTTGATATATTTGCCCTCTTTGTATTGACTCACGTTCTGTCTGAGCTTGAAGGTTCACAATATCCTGAAAAATGTCTGAATGAATGAATGTATTCACATGCTCAAAACAACATATTTTCTGGATATACCTGTATAGCTCAATGTTCATAGTTCAATTATAGTAATTTGTCATACAAATTGTATAGTTTTAATTTGGGTGCCTCATTTTACATTGGAAAGAATTTAATAGTGGAAAAATACAATTTCCAGCACCAAATCATTTTTTTATGAATATCAAAGTATATCATGTGTGTGTTAACTTAATTTACCTGCTCTTGTAAAGGCTCAAGGATCATTTCACCCTTTGTTGATAGTTTTCTTTTCTTTTGGCCTTTGAATACTTGTCGAACCTTCTCTTTGGGTAAGTCCCTCTTTGTGGAGTCATTCTGTTAAAATACAGATTAGTATTGTGAAACAATTATAATTCCCTTTCTCCCAAACCCTGCGTAGTGCATGATTATATCCCATATGGCAATGAGGCAGATATGCCCTTCTATTGTATTTTACTCTGCCCAACGCCAGCCTGTTTTACTTTAATTGGCTATAAATAAACAATGATTTTACTAAGTTCTTTGAATGTTTGCATGGCGATAAAATATAATTGTTTTTGTTTGTGGAAACACCACGTAAATTTATTACTGCAAAGCTTTCGATCCGTAAGCCCGGATCTTCATCAGTGCTAATAATATGTGACTTGTTTAATTCACACGCTCCTTTTATATACAAGAGTGTCGTGATCTGTTGGCTCGTGCAAGACACTCATCAACCGAGCGAAAACAATTTGTGAGGTAAGTAACATTGACGATGAATTAGAACATTTAAGAAATGTTCTAAAAATGAATGGTTGCCCACGGCATTTCATAGATAATGCTATGAAAACGCCACAAAGTATACAGCAGAAAATTGAATATCAGTCGTCTGTTTGTCTACCTTACATTGGTCCGGCTTCACACAAAATCGAAAGAATTTTGAGGAATGAAGCAGGTATAAAGGTATACCATTCCAGCGAAAACAAATTGTTTCGAGCTCTTTGCACACATAAGGACAACGTAAATGAATCTCAGAAACCTGGTGTGTACCGCATTCCTTGTGAATGTGGTCTGGTTTACATTGGTGAAACTGGTCGAAATCTCTCAGTACGTCTTAAGGAACACAAGATGAATTGCGAGAAAGCCGAACAAGATAAATCTGCTGTGGCTAAACATACTTGGACTTACGACCATCGTATAAAATGGGACGAGGCAACCATTTTGGCGATTGATAATCATAAGTTCTCTCGCAAAATGAGAGAGTCAATTGAAATCGAGAAGCACAATACTATAGATCAGGAGGGAAAGCCACTAGATAGTACGTGGCGTGCTCTCTTTAATGTGCAAAATTAATTTCTCTTGTCTTGGACACAGAATAGGAAGTTATACCAGAAGCGTAACTCTAGTCGTTTCCCTTATTGTTTGACGTCCACGAAAATTTTTAACTCGCTCACGTCAGGCCACGCCATCCTGGCTAGTACAACCGGCACTTTGTACCTACCAAATCCTGATAAAAACTTCCGGCTGTACTAGCCAGGATGGCGTGGCCTGACGTGGGCGAGTTAAAATTTTCGTGGACGTCAAACAATAAGGGAAACGACTAGAGTTACGCTTCTGGTATAACTTCCTATTCTGTGTCTTGGATGCGCGCGCGTTAATTGGAATCACTTCACTACGTTTGAAATGACGTGGTTGATGTGCCGTTTAATTAAATTTCAAATGACGCGAGCCAACAGATCACGACACTCTTGTATATAAAAGGAGCGTGTGAATTAAACAAGTCACATATTATTAGCACTGATGAAGATCCGGGCTTACGGATCGAAAGCTTTGCAGTAATAAATTTACGTGGTGTTTCCACAAACAAAAACAATTAATGATTTTACTCTTCAGTAGCAGGGTACTGGCAGTTAATGGGTTTAGTCTACAAATTCTTTCAGTATCTGCAGCATATCAAATATTTTCTAAAAGAGGTCACATCACCATTTTATACAGCTTATTTATTTATTTATTTAATTATTTAACTTCGCCATTGTCATGCATTCATGGCAGGGTCACCACAACAGTAGATATAAATATAAATATAAATGCCATTTCTTTATTTATTTGCCATTTTTTTTGCTTAGATATAAATGCCATTTCTTTTTTTTATATAAACATTTAGAGACATAGCTAGAGCCACTCCCCCATGCAGAGTTGTTGGCCTGAACATTTACAGGATTTATGCAAATCCATTATGTTGCAACCTCCTTGGTCTGTTGTCGCTACATCATTGACAATATTTAACAATTAATACATGTAATTCGAACCAATATATCCTATTTAAAGAATGCATAAGTAATATAAAAATGGCTTTGAATGTTCAAATTGCATGAGTTGATAGTGTTGAGGAAAAGTGTAGTTACTTACTACAGATGTATCTTGACCATCATCAGATCGGCAGGTTTGGTTCAAAATTATTTTAAGTTTATCACCAGTATTAATCTGGGCAAAACTGTCACAATCTATGTACTCGCTCCATTCTTCATCATATTTCTGGACAATCAATACGTTTCCTTTATTTAATTCAAAACATTCCCTCCCTTTGTTGACAATGTCGGAGAATTTGTCCACGAAAACCATCTTCCGACTGTCGTCATACTGAAGTAGAACCTGTTTTGAAACGAAAACAAAATTTTAATATATGTAAATATAAAACTGATCGCATGACTGCCGTGGGCATTCATAAGACATTTATAAATTAAATCACCAAAAATTATTTATTCATTAAAAAAACATACATATTTTAATAAAAAGACATATATGATATAATATAAATCAAACATGGATGGTTTAATGTAATGTGATATTAATATGGATTAAAATACCTTTTTCGAGGAAACTTGATCTTCTTGCCCTTCTTGTTAGTCCGCCATATTGCCATAGTTGCTACCAGGCTTCTTAATATCAAAACCGCGCAAACTTTCAAGATGGCGGATGTCAGAATTTCCCGACTCTGGGAGTTGATGCGTAGGTCGAATTCCCCTCACTGGGGTTTCATAGTGTGGTCAAAGTCCCCTGGGTCGCCCCCCCCCCCCCCATGGGGAAAACAATGATAGGTGCATAATGGTTCTGTGGTTTGTTTGATCATACAGTGTGTGTGTATATATTCATACCTTCGATAACGATGTGAACATTAGCTGTCTCAAACTTTGAAGTACCAAAATGATGTCTATATTTATTCACACTACGATGTCCATTATATATTGTGCCTGATATTAGGCTGAAAGTTGTAAAATATTTGTCAGAAACGAGCTTCGCGCCTTGGCGAAGCATGCATTTTACTGTAAAGCAAATTATGTTGTGAAATCCTTATAAATCATGCAACCAATCGTAGCGCTCATTACAAGAAGTATTTAGCGGTAAACCAATCATGTTCTTTGTAACAACATCCTCAAAGCACATGTCAAGGTCAAATGTATAAACCAATCACAACGGAGTTTAGAAGAGCCTTTACCAGGGTCTTCTCATTTTTCACGCGCCATGTACGAAGAAGACCCTGGGGACGAGGTTGCGGAATACGCACGTCTTTCAATATCCACCATTGCGTTTTTTTCCTTGCGTAAACGTTGCGTTTACCGTAAGCCGTCGACCGCGTGCCAAATTTGCAAAGTTGAAACGCAATCAACTTTTTCCGCGACACGCTGCGTTGACGTGTAAATCCTCCAATAGGAAGTCGGGAGTTAAGCATGTGACTTTGAAATTCGCTTGCTTTTTGGCTGCCATATTTTTAATACTTGTAATTTGTAAGCAGTTTTAAGTATAAAGGCTTTAATTAAAAACAATGGGGAAGTATACTCATGTGGAACGTGCATTGATCGAAGAAGTCAGAAAATACACTTCAATTTGGCAGACAAGTGATCCAGATTATAAAAATAAAATAATAAAGGAAAATGCGTGGAAAGCAGCCGCTGAAGCCGTGAATCTTGTGTCAGACAAAACCTATTCAGGTACAATAGTCAGTACATAATATCAATTTTACATGCTGAATCGTATTTATTATTTATGTAAGAACATGGGCCATGACCATCGTCAATAGTTGGTCAAGGGGAAGGCAAGTTCTGTAAATAATGGTTGACAAATAATAAATAATCAAGTGTTACTGCCAAATTACCATCCAGGATTGGGCTATTCCATTTAATATCTGTACCCCCCCCCCCCATGTCGAGGATACATGTTTTTCATAGTTATACCCATGAAGAATTCCAATCTCAAAACCTTTTACCCCTGAAGAATTCCAAGCTCAAAACCCTTTACCCCTGAAGAATTCCAAGCTCCGTAAAATTTCAATCTCAAACCTCTTTACCCTGAAGAATTCCAAACTCAAAACCCTTAGTGTACCTTTGAAGAATTCCAGGGATCCTCGACACAGTGGGGGCACGGATATTAAATGGGATAGCCCCTTACTGGGAACACTTCAGACAGGGACGCCGGAACGAGAAAAGGCAATGGGCAAACGTACACCAAAGGGCACCTCTAGACCTCGGTGAAGATATAAACCTACGATACAATTATGTGTTGACTTACCAATGAAAGCAAACACACTTAATCAGGCCACTTTCAAGATCACACCTCATGATTTTGCCCAAAAAGCATCACTGTAAATGTAATTTATCAGGTAGTATTTTATAACTCAAAGGGCACTCCTGCCCCCCCCCTTGCCCCTCCTAGCAAAAGGCAAGAGGGGCAGCTGCCCCACATGCCCCCCAGTTCCGGCATCCCTGACTTCAGATTACTTGACCACAAAGTAAATTAGTGTCATAGATTTCTACTGGATACACACATTAGTATCAGGGCTAGGGTCAGGATCAGGGTTACTATGGTTGACATCATCATTAGGGTTAACCTTAAATTCAGGCCCTAATTTAGAATAGGGCCTGACACAAAACCTATCTAAACCGTGTGATTCCCGTCCATCCTGTGGACGGGAAATCAGATTGGTTGATCAGCATCATGAAAGATTTTGATTGGTTGCATGACATAAAAAATAGTTTTTAAAATAATCCGGTCAAGGCAACAATTATAAAGGTCAAACGCATGTATCAAATTCCATTATCGAATTTCTTTTCTTAATATGCTTCATGGCAGAAAATAAATCAAACAAGCCATATTTTGAGAGGGCTTTATCAAAATCTTTGACAAATTTTGGACACACCACGCTGAAAGAACAGCAAAACTAGTCGTTTATTCGAAAGCTTGTTGTTGACAGTCAAGATGTCTTTGACTTTGCTGTTCTGCCAACTGGCTTCGGCAAAAGTCTTATTTTTAATATCAAGTCCTACCGGCATTGTTTTCTAAACTACATCGCCTTCTTTGTGGTACGATGTGGTAATTTCATTATTGCTGTTGTTAGCCTGTTAGAGTATATTCGCGTCCAGCAAGTTCTCAACTTTGAGAAAGCTTGGCATTCAAGCCGTGCACAGAACTGACTAATTAAATCTTTGTTTGCTGTTCGGTTAAATAGAGAAACTGAACTCTTAATTATATAATAGTACCTTGAATTTTTAAGTTTAATTAAAAAGCAAAATGCACACTCTGCGGAGTGCGGACATGTTCATGAGAATACAATTTTTTTGTGCAATGAAATCTACAACACTTGTCAATCATATTGCATGGTGTGTCTAAAAATAACATGTGGGCATCCCACGGTCTAGACAGGTTTTGTGTCAGGCCCTATTCTAAATTAGGGCCTGAATTTCAGTTTACATTAGGGTTAGCATTCCAGTGTTGGTCATGAGTTGAGTGGCCAGATATTCTAGAGTTACTCTTTTGTTTTTTTTTAGTCAATGACTTTAAAGAAAAAAATTGGAAAAATATAAGAGACACATATGTTCGAGCTCTTAATGGAAACTGGAAAATGTCTGGTTCAGGAACAGTTGAATTGCCAAAGTTTCCCTATTTCGAAGTCATGTCTTTCATAAAACCATTTGTAAATATAAGATCAGGCAACGCCAGCTCCAATTGTAGTTCTTTGGATTCAAGCACTTCAAATTCAAATGATAGAAATACAAGTATTGATGATTATGATGATGATAAAGACCCTGAAAGTGCCTTAACACAACCACAAGACCTGCAAAATGACACATTTAATGATGGTTTTGCTTCAGACCAGTCATCCACATCCAACATTTCTACACCAGATGTTGGAAGACAAGCAGGAAGGAAAAGGCCACACAACAGAATGTCCAATCAAGCTATTAACAGAGCTTTAGATGTAAAAGTATTGCATTATATGACAAATACCAGTCAAAATCAGCTTCAAAAAGCCAACATACCCAGTCATGATGCAGACCATAATTTTGGTTTGTCTGTGGCTGCTCAAATTCGACAAATGGACCGGAGACAGAATGCCCTAGCTAAGGCCAAAATTCAGCAGATATTACTTGAAATCCAGTATCCTGAATGCAGTGAACCTTCTGTGACTACCATGAGTATTGATAAATCCCATTTTGCTTGTAATTCAAGTAATGTGAATATGCCCATGGCCAAACAAACCAGATTCTATGTGCCTAACAGGAGCGATTCTATGGACATGTCTACACCATATACTACTCAGGCTAATGAGTCATCGTTCTTCTCTGGATAAGCAGATATTTACTTGTACTTGTATAGATGAACAGGACATCTAATATATATATATACATATGGTACAATCTGCAGACATGCATGTTTCGGCGTTCAACGCCTCGTCAGTGCAGCTTGGTACACGTCTAGATACGTGAGACACTCGTATTTATACCCCATGAACTTGCTCTCACCAAGGCATGTGGTACAACACGGTGACTCAACGCATCCAGACATGCGCAGAGCGTAATGGGGCCAGAGTGCTCAAACAACCACAAGGGAGGTGAATATATATATATATATATATATATATATATATATATATATATATATATATATATATATATATATATATATATATATATATATATATATATATATATATATATATATATATATATATATATATATATATATATCTTCCCGTAAGCCGTGCATGCAATTTAATTATATGAAATGTATATCAATATTAGAGAACAGAGAGTTGATGTGTAGCCAATTTATCTTTAAAATTTTTTAAAGATGTTTCTGTTTTAAGATCATTTGGCAAGGTGTTCCAAAGCTTGGCGCCAGAAAAAGCAAAGCTTTGTTGATACAATTCTGTTTTGACTGATGGCAGTGACAGATTTAAATTCGCATTACGTAGCCCAAAGGATTTAGCCCCGTGGTTATAGTTAAATAACTCTTTCAAATAAGTTGGAGCATCATTATTCAAGATTTTAAACAACATGGACATTTTAAACCGTTTTCTTCTCTCATCTAGAGTCGGCAACCCAAATTTTTCGAGCAGGGCAGCAGACCTAACAGAATAATCGGCCCGGCTAATAATACGAACAGCCCGGTTTTGTAATTTTTGTATTCTATTTGCCAGTGTATCACTCATAGAGTCCCAAACAATGCAACAGTAATCAAAGTGTGGTTCAATGATTGAATGATATATAGTAATGAGTTGTTTTTCTGTCAAAAAATTCCTAGTTCTACGTAATAAACCCATGCCAATTGAGACCTTTTTAATAACATTGTCAACATGTTTTTTCCACGTCAAATTTTCATCAATTGTGACTCCTAAGCATTTTACATGTCTTACTTTACAAAGTGAAATACCTCCAATAGAAAGTGCAACATCGTCGATCAATGAAGCAATCTTTTGCCGAGTTCCTATAATCATATATTCAGTTTTTAAGGCGTTTAGAGTTAATTTATTAGCTTTAAGCCATAATTCAAGTTTTCTTAAATCACGTTCCATTTGACGTTGAAGTTCAATAGGAAAACATGCAGAAAAAGACAAATTTGTATCATCAGCATACATTCGTGCAGTGCCGTGATCAAAGCAAGATGCCAAATCGTTGATGTATATGAGAAAGAGTAGAGGTCCAAGTACAGAGCCTTGGGGAACACCACAACTAATTTTAATCTCATCTGACAAACACCCATTGACAAAGCATCTTTGGTACCTGTCAGTCAGATAGGATCGAAACCAATCAACCGCTATTTTTTCCAATCCTAAATATTCTAATTTGGTCACAAGTATAAGATGATCAACGGTGTCAAAAGCTTTCTTTAAGTCTAAGAAGACGACACCGTTTAACATCCCTCTGTCAATGTTAAAGCACCAGTCATTATTCATATCTAATAGTGCAGTCATTGTTGAGTGAAGCGATCTAAATCCCGATTGCCGAGAATCAATTAAGTTATTATGTATAAGGTATGCATACAGCTGGTCATAAATAAGTCTTTCAAACACTGTAGCAATACTAGTTAGGACAGATATAGGTCTATAATTGTCAGAAATATCTCGTTCACCACTCTTAAAAATTGGAGAAATCTTGGCCTTTTTCAATTCAGCTGGGAAAATGCCTACCTTAATTGATAAATTAAAAAGACTAGCAAGGTGCAAGTAAATAAACGGCGCGGCGACCTTCAATAATCTATTCGGGATATTGTCTAAACCACATGCTTTTGTAGTTTTTAAATTCTTTAGTAATTTCAAAACTTTGTCTGAGTCTACATCATGTATTCTGAATGTTTCTTCCGATTGTTTTAGAAACATTTCAGGACGAACGTTGTAATTTTGTGTTCCTACAGACGAAAGCTTGACGCCAATTTCAGAGAAATGTTGATTCAAATGATTAGCTATATCTTCACCACTGGTAATAATCTCATTCGGGGAAACCTTAATTTCGTTTATTTCTGTATTCTTTGAAGGTTTACCAACTAGACTATTCAGAACAGCCCAAGTACGTTTGGAATCCCCAGAGCTTTCGCTTAACTTTGTTTGATAATACTGGCGCTTTATTTTCCTTAATTCATAGTTAGTTCTGTTACGAGCTGTCTTATAATTCATCCAATCAGCTTGACTATTAGACCTAGCAACACGCTTTTTGAACATATCTCTTTCATACATCAACTTTTTGGCAGTTGCATCTATCCAGGGCGCTGGCTTATTGCGGGTCCTAATAATTCTTTTAGGTGCATGTTTATCAATAATAGAAATAAATAATTCATTCCAAGTGCACCAAGCTTGATCCACATCATTGAACTTGTCAATATCAGGCCAATCGGCATCAGACAGATCATTTTTAAATTTAAACTCATCAAATTTTTTATAATTACGCGTCAAAATAACCTTAGGTCTACTTCTTGGGATACCTACCTTCCGAGCTGAATAAATTAAATAATGATCACTAATAGACAAAGGATAGACGCCTGAATGAACAATACTATCTGTGTTGTTTGTTAGAAATAAATCAATTAAGGATGATGTTTCATTAGTAATTCGCGTAGGCTCATCAATTAATTGAGACAATTGAAATGTTTGTAAAATATTTTCGAGGCGGGTAGTATGACATTCAGGTTGTTTGTTATGAAAATTACAATTTAAATCCCCCATTACATAAATATCATCAAATTCATTGTCAACACATGTAAGGAAATCTTCAAAAATGTCAAAACATTCAATTGCAGAATTAGGAGGTCGATACCACGCGGTAACGAGAAAGGCCTTAGAGTTTGGCTTTTTAATACTCAATGCTATCATTTCAAGTTCGAGCTTTTCTAAATCTGTGCGATGTTTGAATTCTATTGATTTACGAATAAAAACACAAACACCGCCACCATTGCGATTTCGATCTCGGCGTATTAAGTTATAACCATTTATATTTATATGAAAGTCAGGAATTGACATATCAAGCCGAGACTCATTAATTGCCAAAATATCTAATGGTTCATTGACCATCAGAACTTTTAATTCATCCAAATGTTTAGTCAAACTTGCAATATTTAATGAACCCATTTTGAAGCCACGAATTTGGCTCAAAGTATTTTGCAAGGGAATTAGGTTAGCACTTTGATCAAACTCTCTGTTGTCTATGCACTCGTCAAAAACTATTAAGAGCTAACTTAAAATTACTTGCTAACAAAGCTACACCTTTACGATTAAGATGTAGTCCGCTGCGATTTAACGAGTCCTTTCTAATATTATGATTTGATATGAATTTCCATCCATTATTTCTGCAGGCTGACTTGAGTAATTCGTTAACCTGCTTTATATTAGTATTTAAGTTCTCATTGTCAGTTCGAAATATGATCCCTGATATTGCTAATTTAGTAGTTGGAGATTGCTTATTTATATTTTTGGACAAGCGAACAATTTTGGTAGCAACATTATCGCTTGATTCACCACTCATATCATTAGTACCTATATGTAAAATAAGATTTTCAGGCTTTTGTCTAAGAAAAGGTTTACTAAAATCCGACATATCGTCGATAGTTGAACCTGGAAATGATCTAGATGTCACTTTTTTCTCTTTAGACAGTTTCCATCCTTCTATATTTTTTATCATAGAATCACCAAGAATTACATTCCACGGTTTCTGTTCAGCTTGAACTTGGTTATCAACATTAATTGAACTTGAACTAACCTTACCGTTCGCCGATTTTGCTTTATCTGTTTTGCTCTTGGGATTACTTGTCTCGTCATTATTCTTACCGTTAGACCTAACAACATCATTCCACGCCATATCTTTGGCATTGTCCGGACTATGCTCTGGTCTTGCCGTTGAATTCGCAGACCGAGATTTCTCTTCTTCGCCGACCATTTTCAGTACCGTCATTAGACTACTGTTTTCGTTCTCAAGTTCTTTAATCCTTCGCTCATACTTTAAACATCGTTCAACTAGTTCTTCCTTCTCTGTTAGATTAATAGCACAGCTTTGACATGGAACTTTGGGCGATGTCCCCAGGGAATCGTTGTTAAAATTTTCAAGTCGTTTCTCCAGTAATTGAATTGCAGACCATATTTTTTTTGTTTCTTGGGAACAAGGCAGTTCGCAGTGTGGTGTTGATTCACATTCTTGCGATAACGTGGCATCGAAGCTTCGTTGTAGGTTGGGTGTGTCGCATAGATTTTCATCTTTTGCTTCCGAACACTTCTTTAAAAGCTGCGTGCGATACTGAAGCTGCTTTGGACCTTGTATTTTAAGCGTTTTTGTGCTTGGATAAAAGCTGATGGTTACTTCTGAGCATCGAAACATATAAAAGCCGCAATTACTTTTAACTTCACTCCAATCACCCTCAAGTTTTAGTTCTTGCTCGGTGAATTGCTGTAAATCTGATAGAATACCATTCCATTTTAACTGATTGCGATCACCAGTTACTTCACACGATAAGTGATTCATAGTTGAAAGTTGAAAATGATCATCAACGACTGCAAGCGAGTTTTCGTTTAAAGATATTTCGGAGCTCTCAAAAGCACGTCCGTCAGCCATGATCGACATTATATATATATATATATATATATATATATATATATATATATATATATATATATATATATATATATATATATATATATATATATATATATATAATGTTGTGTTATTGTTCACTCTGTAATATTATAAGTAGAAAATGTTCTCGAGTGTGTATTTCATAATTTCCATACCCAACGTAAGCAGAAAGATAAAGTCTGCCGCATGCTGCAGCCGAAAATTTAGTTTTTGTATTTATTAATAGACTTCTTCAAACGTAGCCGTTCTGATGAAAAATGTTTTTGCGCAATGTCGTTTTGGGGATTTTGTAGTAACAGCTTTCCTACTCTAAAAACGCTAGCATTTTCAATAATTTTAGTGGTAGATGTATCAGAGAACGTCAAAGTACATAGGCTTACTGAAAGTTTTCGCAAATGTCTTGCGCATCTGACTTTAGTGAACTTTTCCAACTGTGCATGTACTTTTTTTCTGATACACCCTGTATATAGAAGCCTATTGGAGCGCATGCATAGTTATCTATCTACAATAAAACCATCAAAAAACAGAATTAATTACAGTTCATATCTACAGGGGGTCCCCAAAGAACAAAACTATTGAAATAAGGTTTTGTTAGAATTTGGATGCCCTATACTAATCTGAAGGCAAAGATACGTAAAATATTGACAGGGTGCATATACTAATTATTGACTTATGAAGAAATTAAAATATCTTTGTAAAGCGCACGATTTTCTGCCCTTGGGAATTTAAAGCAGCTTAATTGTTAAATTCTAAAAGAGAATAATTTAGCAAAAATTATAAAATTACGAATTAGTCATAGGCTATTATCATAAATTACGGGAACCACTGAGTATTTTAATAAAATATAAAACAACGGAAACTCCGAAAATAAACATTTTAATATAAAATGTTTATTTTCGGACTTACCGTTGTTTTATATTCTATTATCATATATACACTAGATAGCGCATCTCTTTTAGTAAAATTGAAGCCAAGAATATTCCAGCAGTTACCCCATTTGAATAGATGGCGGCCATGTTAAAGTTTCCCACTAGCTAATAAACGCTTAACAAACAACAATAACTTTCATCATTTGAATAGTTTAAAAATGTATTTGGAATAGGTTTAACATAATGTTTAAGTTCCCTGTTTAAAAAATAGAAAACATACGAATCTTCTGATTTCATGGGAATATCCTAAGTCTGCAAACACGGCTTCAATTTTTGAATTGCAGAATAATTAAATGCACTATCTGGTGTATAATTATAAGATATCTATGGACAGGATACACTTCAACTATAAACAACCATATCGTCTGTTTAAATACCGTTTGATCGATCAGTCGGTGTACAAGACATATATGTTTCTTCGGCGATGCGTGCTCAACTTCGCAAGCCAGGCGGGTGTGGAGTCCTTTTCTTGGAAGTGAAATATGATCCTGCTTCTCGCTTGAAATGTAACGAACACTTATTATTATAATGACATTCAGTATAGCAGGAAGTCTTGTCATGAAGAATACGAATTTAGAAAAATTTCTTTCACGATCTCTTGTTGTAAATGACATTTTATCACCTGAAACTATAACACATAAAGTTGCAATTTTCCAAACGCAACAAACAGACTTCTCTACTGCCCCTCGATGAGATCCATCCCAAATTACCACGCAAAATCTGCGTGACACGTGACCAGCCCAGACCCGACCAGGGTCTTTCCTCCACAAGAGGCAAGAGCCTGCGAACGAGGTTGCGGCTTAACCCGCCTGTGGAAGCTGTTACGGGTGCTGGAGCCGCCGACCGGAGGAGGGGGGGGAGCTTAGTCCCTAAATTTACTTGTGGAATAGAGTTTATTTGAAAAAATTTATTTTCAAATGTACATAATATAAAAATTTTAGAGATATATACCAGAAGTATAACTGTTGTACTTTTCCCACAGGCCAAGCAATCAATATTTGCCCAACAAGGGAGATTACAACATCCAGTGGACAGATTAGGTCACCTAACTATCCAAGCAACTACTCCTCAAACACTGATTGCACCCTCACGATTAAACAACCCTTGGACACAAACTTTACTTTCACTTTCACCAAGCTTGATATTGAGAGTGCTGACGACGGTAGGTAACGTAATTTATGTTAAACATTATGGCATAGTTCATATCTGCGCAGCTAATTGGAAACTCACACGACTTAGATTTGCATGTAATTATTGTTAATGCTGATAAAATATTAAACATTGCCCAAGGACAATTTTTTTAATTTTGATTAAATTTGAATGAAGATTGGATAAGAAATTAGCAAATATTTGCCAGGCCTAGTAACCTGCAGGCGTTATTAAACCATTGTATAGTTTATGCACGGTAAATTACCTGACGGAGTTATGCAGTCTCTGAGTGCCCTCTAGTTTACATATTATTAATTATTTAATATATACAATATATCTGCTTACTTACTTTACAGGATTCAACTGTTATGATTGCCTCATTATATCTGGAGGTTCATCAAAAAAATTCTGTGGGACCACCACTCCGGTGCCATTTGTACCTGGCCTGAATGTCGTCACTCTTAGAATGGAAACAGATGGTAGTATTGAACAAAGCGGTTTTGATCTCAAATTCACCACCGTTCAGAGTAAGCAATATTTTCGGTGTGCTCAGGGGCGGCAGAGGGAAATAAGGCGTCAGAAGACTTGTCTTAAATCGGGAGGGAGGGCTCCAGACAAATCCCAGCTCCTATATTAAAGTCACCCTTGACTGTAACCTCGTTTCCCGGGCTTTCGTATGAGGACGAGGGCAGAGACGAGAAAGTCCTGATCTGGGCCGGTTAATTTTGCATTCTGATTGGCTAACACCATATTGTCTAAAAATAACTGAACTTGACAGTTAACAATAACAATTCAACATTTGTATTTTTATGATTCTTGTGTGTACGAGTATGTTTTGCAAAATAATCTTTCAAAGTAAGACGTTTTCCCGACTGCATGATATACTTTCGCCTCAGCCGGTTACAAAACTCAAAAGCCGTGTCGACGTGAGCTGAGACGTGAGCCTGACAAAACAAGAAACGTCTACTATTATCTAAGCTGTAATTTTTCTTGTACAGTATTTATATAAATGTAGTGCAGATGTCTACGCGTATTTCATTGTAGGCCTAGTCCCCGAGCCGACGGCGCGAAGCGCGGTGCGAGGGTACTAATTCCCCCCGTCTATTTACACCCGGGGAAATGAAAGCATTAGCGAAGTCTAAAGTTCATCAATTATAGCGGGCGGGCGTCACCAACGATGGGTGGTCATCCTCACTGATCTCAAAAATATGGCGAACTGTCATGAATAGCGGACACTGATTGGTCCAATTTAAAGTTTGCATTATAACGACTGCATGACGACAGCAAAATAGCAAACATTTCTTGATTTCTTGATTTGATGATTAAATTGGTAAATTTCTTGCAAATATATTTAATTTTTGGTCGCATTTTGGCAAGATTTTGTAAATTTCAAAAGGTTTCTCAGAAAGAAAGGGCGAAAGAATCGGCGAAAAGAAGGGAACCGACGTTAACGAAGGTAAGTTTGTTTTAAATATTGATTTTATAATGACTTTAAAACCCGACGGCCTTTGCGTATATGAAACAACTAATACAAGACAGCATATAATTTCAGTGTATCTTTAATAATAATGATTCCCTTTTTTATTATATTGAATTTTTTAAATAAAAAAGAAAGCAAAGTTCTTTGCAAGCGAGAATTTGAAATCATTTTATTGCAAATTCAAAGTTTATCGATAAAGCCATTTAATTAAAGCCAGGCAGTTTAGTTTTATAAAGAACACTTTAAAACGTTTTGCGAAGCGTTTGTGGTTGAATTTTACCTTAAATTGAAGCTTGTATTACGTATAATAACATACCTAACATATATATATGTTGGGAAATTGATAATTTTGTAATTAAAAGTGATATTTTTAGGCGATTTTTCATTTGTAAGAATATTCTTAAAAATTATCGTGTTACCATGACAACTACTTTAGATAGTTCATGTTCGGAAAATACAATGGTTTTGTCAGCAAGGCGAGGGTTTCTGCATGCATGTATATTCTAGTAATATTTTAATTTACAATATTCTATACTGACAATAAAAGCAAGACAAACAATTAAATGAAACTACTAAATTAATTTAGGCCCTGTTTACTTAGTAGCTTTACGCCTAGGCCGATGTAGTCTCTACAAGATTCGTCACGTCACCGAGTTTTACAGTTTCAGAACACCTCGAATACTTGAAAATTGCGATTATGCGATAAAATAAAACAAAGATTGTGAAGCGGATAAAATTTGTAGGCAAGCATTGCTCCTAAACGGCAAGTGTTGGTGCCCGGCGAAACAAGCGAATCCGTATTTTCCTGTACAGCGTAAATTGGTTACGCGAGGTTTTATATTTGTGTTTATTTATATCGAACTAAGTCAGATATATAAGAGCATATTTAAACTAAATATTAAAGGCAATAGCCATATTGTTCAAGACGACGGACGGGGTCTTCAGAGATTTCAGCTGATTCGTGCCAAACTTCGCTACACATAAATAATATCGATTGAGAAGTCTTTCGGCCGTTTATTATTTCATTAAAGAATATCTCGACACTCCGTGATGACTAGCTGTCAAATACTGCCATTTTTTGGGTAGTCACGTGACCATCCCAGACCAGATCTTTCTCGTCTCTCCCCTCGTCCTCATACGAAAGCCCTGGGAACGAGGTTGCCTTGGCTGTTGATATATTGAGGTGGCCGGAAATTGCAGAGAAAAATGGTCATGTCGCTGAGCATTAATTACATGACATTGAGGGCTCAGTCAAGAATTCTCGGCGCTTTTGTTTTGCTTTATTCTGACTTATTTGTGGTGACCAGTGTTGTAAAAATTACCCAAAAGCTAATGAGTAAAAATTGTTTCTCCGTAAAAGTAATTATTATAAATCAAATCTTAATTCCTTGAAAAGTTCTTATTATTATTCTTATTATTCTTATTAATCAATTGATAAATTACATATCAAGTGTTACAAAACAATTTTGAAATATATTACAAGTTTTTAACATTAAAAATTTTTAGGTTATATTAAAATTTCAAAGCTAAATTATATTTAAAAATACATCTATTGATGAAACTCTTGTGTTCTAAGTTTAACTGTATATTCTTTAATTTTTGGACAGATTTCTCTTAACGGATGATTGTTTTGTTTACACAGCTTTTCAAACAGCTTTCTATCTGTCTGCTCTAACAGTATATTAATATCTATTTGTCCGATCCTGATGTGTATCGTCTTTTTTAACAACGAGTTAAGAAGTTTTGAATAGTTGTTAACTCCGGTGGTGATGCAGCAATAACTGATAAGCCATAGGTAAGTTGTGACAGGACCAGTGACCTAAAAAGAAGATCTAATTCGTCTTGGCTGTATCTTTCATTCCTCAGCTTTCGAATTACAAACAAGCATTTATTTGCTTTCATCAAATTTTTCTTAACACATTTCTCAAATCTGCTTGTCATTTCAAAGGTTAGCCCCAGTATTTCAAGACTAGAGTGCCGTTCAAAACCGTAAATTGGTGATACACAATCCTCTGATCGTCCTTTCTTTAATATAATCATTTCTTTACATTTACCCTCATTTGAAGGTAAAGAGTTTGATTCGGACCAGTCCTTTAATTTATCTATACCTTTAGAACTACAATCTTGGGTATTCTTCAAAATCGGTACCAAAAATGAGGAATCATCCGCGAATTTAACAAGGGGGGTGTTGGAACAGTTTTTAATCTCCAAATCAATAATAAATAAATTAAAGAAATGTGGTCCGGTTACAGTTCCTTGCGTAACTCCCTTGTTAATATCTTTCCACTTGCATGTCGTTCCTTGGAAAACTATTCTCTGTCTTCGATCTTTTAAGAAATTTAAGTACCAATTTACTAAATAAGGGTTCATAGAACTTGATTTCAATTTTTCACTCAGTTTTGCGTGTTTTACATTGGCAAATGCTTTGGAAAAGTCCATTGCAATTAATCTCACTGCATCACAAAATGGTTCTTCTAGTGCTTTCAGGTACATATACTGTATTTTAATTAAATCAAATTAAGGCGTTTGTGCTACACTCACCGATTCGAAAAGCAAATTGGGAAGATGATAACTCAGCCTCGAAAGATCTTTTACTATAATAATGATAAACCGTTCTTTCGAAGCATCGTCCAATCACAGGTGTGACGTTTATATACATACATACAAAACTTTATTTAGACAACGCTAGCCTCAACAGCCGTTGGAAGGCTGGTTTCCATGAGGGGCGTGAAATTACCTATTTACAAAATGTTAACTATATACATGAAATACAAAATATAACAAAATAAATAAATACAATTGATTTTAGCTGCACGATTATACACAAGCAAATTTCAACTCATTCTTTGTTTCAATATCGACTTGAAAGAGTTTAGGGATTCAGCAATTTTTGCCTCATGGGGAAGATTATTCCAATGCAAGGCACCATTATGACTGAAGCACCTCTTGCCGAATTCTTTTTTCGGCATAGGTGGTGCTAAATCAGTATCCGAATTTCTAAGATTGTAACTATTATGTCTTTCATTATTAAAATGAAATGCTTCTTTAAGATTGGGTGCGGTGTGGCCATTCAGAACTTTATAGATGAAAATAGATTTAAGATAATTTCGTCTTTCTTCTAGAGGTTTCCAATTTAGATTATTGAGTAACTCAGATGACCGAATATCGTAGGTTGCACCAGTAATTACTCTTGCAGCACGATTTTGGTATTTTTGCAACTTATCTTTGAGCCCAATTCCACAATTATCCCACAAAGAGCTGCAATAATCGAAATAAGGCTGTATAATAGCATTATATAGCATTTTGGTTGTCGACAGTGGTACAAAAGGTTTAACACGTCTCATTGCACCAATACCGGCACCAACTTTAGAACAGATTGAATCAATATGTTTATCCCAAGACAACCTTTCGTCCATAGTCACGCCAAGGCATGAATATTTATTAATCCTGGGTACTAGCTTATTATTAATTAAAATGGGATTACCAGATACTTTATTCTTAAGGTTATAGGGAGACCCAATGAACATATGTTTCGATTTACTGGGGTGGATTTGGAGTTTATTGTGTATCATCCATTTGCGTATGTTTTCGAGATCAATATTTACCTTGTCGACAAGGTCGGCGCAGTCATTAGAAGATGCATAAATTTCCGTGTCATAAGCATAGAGTGAAGGAGGTAAGTGACTTAACGAGTCAGGCATATCATTTATGTATAATAAACATAATAAAGGACCAAGGATGGACCCCTGTGGAACTCCGCATATTATCTTTTTTGGGCTCGATAGTTGTCCGTTTATAAGACATTGTTGAACCCTGTTATTCAGGTATGATTCGAACCATCTTAGTTGGTTTCCTGTTACTCCGAAAAAATTACGCATTTTATCAATCAGAATTTCATGATTTATGGAGTCGAAGGCTTTTCTAACATCAAGAAAGACTACACAATTTATTTGACCACTATCCATGTTTTTAAGTAAATTATCACACATTTGTATCAACGCAGACAGGGTTGAGTATTTAGGTCTAAACCCTGATTGGAATTTAGAAAGTAATGAGTTATTGGAAAGATAGCCATAAAGCTGTCGAAAAACCTCTCTCTCAAAAACTTTACTTACAATGGGGAGTATGGAAATTGGCCTATAATTTTCACATTTCCGTCGATCTTCAGATTTGTAAATTGGAATTACTCGTGCTCGTTTCCAGTCATTCACATAAATACCAGTGTCAAGTGATAAATTAAATATATATGTTAATGACGGGGCAATAATATCTGCAGAGAGTCTGAGAACATTGGCTGGAATTTTATCAAGGCCAGTAGATTTGTTTATCTTGAGGTTCATTAATGCCAGAAAAACGTTTTCTACATCAATACGATGGAAATGGAATATCGTATCTGTTGTGGGATTGGAATTATTGTAGCTATTCGTAGTGTGTTGAGTAAGAGGCTCTTCACCAGCTTCAGGCTCTTCACTAGTTTCAGAAGCTAGGCTAGGGCCAGTGTTAACAAAATATTCATTAAACTTTTCAGCGATTAATATAGAATCGGTAATGCTGTTGTCATTCACAGATATTTCTGTAATACTGGAAGATTTGTTATTCCTTCCAGTAAGGGAATTTATAAGGGACCAAATTTTTTTGAAATCATTTGAATATGTACAGTCCCCTATC